TGAGACATTTTTCGATTACTTTTGTTTTCGCTTGTTGACCTATTGGAATTAATTAATATTCTCAATACAAAATTTCAGTTCTTTTTTAAATATCCCTTTACAATATCTTCGCTCTTTGATTATAAATTATTTCATAGATATTTTTATTTAAATGATTTTAATTTTCATGCTGTAAAATTTCAAAAGTGGAGCAGAGAATGATAGATAAATACTCATTCGTTTCAGTAAAAAAATAACAAAAAACTTACAGAAATTTATTTGGTATGAAATATACAAATAAAATCACAATTTTATTTTTCCTTAATTTGAGCATTTTCTTAATAGTTTCCTTGTTATACTATTTTTTTCTGCCCGTTTCTAACTTGGAAAAAATATTTTTTACTTGAATTCTCCTTTATTCATCCGTTGTGTGCAAAAAAGAAAACTGTGGACGATAATGTGATTATTGTTAGTTCTATTATCAAATACATAAAACATAATTATTATTTTTTTACAATGTTCATTCATATGAATTACATTAAAATGAAGTAATATATGAGCTCATACAAATGAGAAAACTCTTTTACATTGACATTCAGAGGAATTAGTAATATTTTTAAAAAAATTGTATTTTTCATCCACTTTGATTAAAAAATTAATGAAGTTGTTGTTGTTTCATTGTTTATGATTTTGATTGAATTACTTTAAGAAATAAAGAAAAAAGAAACACAACACAAGTAGATCACTTCTCGTGTCACAAGAAAATATTAAAAAAATAGCTCATTGCTGATATTGAATAATGAAATATTAATACTCATGAAAATATCTTGAAATTTATATTGTAGTTCATTCTTTGAGATGTGATTAGATCAAATTATTTGAATTTCTTTCTTTATTTTTTTGCATACCAACTAATTTCGTTTAACTTAGCGGTTTGCAAATAAAAAAATTTTTTACCAAAAATATTAGGAGTTCTACACAGTAAAAAATTCCTGATAAAATTACGGTAAAATATACTGGCCGCCGGAGTACTAACATTTCTTACAGTAAAATCACTTTTACTCAAGAAAATCAACTGACATATCGTAATTTTTACCATTTACTGAATCACTGTAATTTAATAAATATTATTGTAAAAATTACGGTATAAAAATTTAAGATGAAAATAGATTTTTCGGTAAAAATTACTGCCACCTTAAGTACATTTTTACCGTAATTTTGTCAGAAACTTTTTACAGTGTATTTTGCAATTTTCAAGAGATATAGAAAAATTACTAAAAAAATGTCGGAAACGGTACAGAAAGAAATTAATGTATATTTTATGTAAATGCTCGGAATGTGTTAAAAAAAAACCTTGAGAGAGCCTAAGTCCTATACATCAATTAGTTTTTTATACCACGTGACGATCCTGCTCGTAAAATATTTCTTTTTTTATTTTCATCCCTCTCATCTTTTTCATTTGGGGGATGCAGCGATTCAAATGATGACTATTTCTAATTTATTGAAGAGTTCTAATTAAAGCTGTCATATAACGTAAATAAACAAGTTTTATTTAAATATTTTTTATGACAACGTATTCTGAATGGAATATTAATTTATATTTAATTTCAATAATGTCTTTCGAACTTATTTGAATCACAGTATACTGATCGGTTTTAATCTTCAATACTGCTCTAACTTTTCGTAAAAGCAAAAAATAAAAAATAGTTTCAGTCCTTACTATCACTGCGAAAATCTGTATGAAATGAAATTATATTCATACGCGCTGTAAACATAGTTCTTTTAAGATTTTCCGCACTGATGAGAAAAGCGGAAAATATTGTTTTTTAAATAGTCAAACTACAAGAAAGAAAATTAACCTCTCAAGAACGTATACAGCTCAATAACTCAAATATTGTGCCAACAAAAATAATGCATCAAACCATGATAATAAAAATCATTATTTATTTATCTTCTCCTACGAGACACTTGTGGAAATAATTTCAGCTTCAATATTTATAAAATTAACTATTGAATATGCTTGAGACAGGCCTGTGATAAAATTTTCCGTATACATAAATATTTTTACTGTATTTTCAATGGAATAAAAAATAGAAATGGGTAGTGGGCAAATAAAAGAAGCAGAGATATGTCAAAAGGTTACAACAAAATTGTAAGGAACTAACATATGCTAATAAGTATGCAAATCTGCCTTTTCTTTTCATCAACATGCATTTTTAAATGAAGTTCTCTTAAAGGACATTCAAGGGACAGTAAAGAATTCTCCTTGATTAGAGTGCATTTTCAAACAGAATTTTTGGAAAGTGACATTCCTTAACCTTTCCCCTTCATATTTTTTCAGGCTTAGGCCTGTCACTTTAATGCGTAATAGAGTGGCACGTTTAAAAATGTTTTTTTTTTAATTTCATAAATTAAATAAGGCACACAGAAAAAAATTCTGGTAAAATAACCGTACTGTGTGGTAATGACAATTGTGGTAAAAAAAACTGTAAAACTTAACTGAACTTAAACTTAACTGAAAAAAAAAACTCTGATTAATAAAACACAAACAAAAAAATACGGTATTAATGCCCTTCATTTGATAATTCTTCCAATCATATGGCAACTGTTTACAAGAAATTAAGGTATTCATGTTTATACTTCTTATTATGACACATTTAATAAAAAATACAAAACTGTAAAATGAATTCTTCACCTTCTGACGCCAGCCAACTCCTAAAGATTGCAACGGGGTGTGAACCAAACTCGCTACCGAGATGGATCCGTTTAAATTACGAACGGGTTATCCATAAAATATAAATATTTTGTTTCATATTAGCACTAAAATTCAATCCAACGAAAGGGGTACAATAACAATAATTTTAGAAACTCTCCTTAAAAAAACCGACATTGATTATAGGCCATAGAAATATTTGCTCACTCAATTATTTCTATTGCGTAATGTATTGTAATAACATTTCTGAGTAATGTAAATGACATTCAGTGACTGAAATAATTACCGAAACTGCATTGTAATAGAAATATTTGTAAAACAAATTGCGAAGTTAATATATCTCTAAACAAAAACTCGCGCTAAACATTTTTTTTAAAAACGCAATTACATATTCCTGGATTACAAGCTACCACAAATATAGGCTGTCAAATGACCTACCTATCAAATGATCTTTCCTGTTTGACATCAATGCCTTATTCCAGGGCACTTTTTATTTCATGATAATAGCATAGATGTATTATTTATTAGTAATTTACTATTCATTTTCACTCGTAATTAAAGAGTCATGAAGAAGAGTGGTTTGATAAGCAGTATAAAAGCATTAGAAGATCTGTTTGCATTATTATGATTCCATGCTGCAACAATAATCTCAAAACATGTTGAAATCATGATGATGAATGTAATCATAACCTGACATGGCAATTCAAAAGCAGAACTAAGTGTTCTAACCATAACATTGTTGAAAAATAACATCATGAAAGTTACTAAGATCAGTAACATCATCGTCATAACTGGGGTAAAAACAAAATCGAACTTTATTAACCCTTATGGGACGATTTATTCCTTTAGTCGTGCTAAAAAAAAGAGAGCTAAGCAATACGACATGGTATGGAAATAGTTCCATCATATATTTTAAAATCTGGAAATCAAAGTTTTCTTTTAGAATTTAGTGATTCGAATGTCACTTAAGATCTTCATTATTTTAGCTTTTTGCAAATATAATTCATCGACAATTAACAACTTTAATTTGATTGACTATATTTGAAGACCAAAAAAAAATTTAATTCTCTATAAAAAAAATAAATCTGCAATTATAAATAAATAAAAAAATAAATCTGCGTGTTAAAACATAGTGGAAACATAGCTAATGCTTGTTTAACAATTATCAGGTACAACTAACTAAGGAACGAATTGACTCAGTATTTGCCTTTGTAATTAAGATTAGGTTTCATCATTTAAATCCGAAATTTTAGAAAAAGGGAAACAACACAATGCCTTTTTCTTGTGAAGTTTAAAATTTATTCCTAAAGTTTATTTTACATATTTTCAGGATAAGTCAAATAAAAATTAAAATAATTTCTTCGTAAAATAATTTCCAAATATCGATGTAAATTTTCTATTTAACGAACTTTTCTTTGAGATCCACTTTCCCTACTTCCCAAAATATTTCAGAACATTTCAAACTTGTTAACTCATTTTATGGAAGCAACGACGTTGAATTGCTTTTCAAAGCCACTTAACTTTTAGAGAAAGCAGTAAAATCCCTTCCTTTTTTGTTTGCATTTCAAACGAAAAACTCAGACAAAATTAATGGATTTTATCAGTAGCAATTAAACTTAAGAACGCATGTGGCAATGTATGTTTAAAATTACTGTTATAATAAATGCAGGTCTAGTTTTATACATAAATTTAGCTTTTTTTGGTTGAAATTGTATGCAGCATGATAGTGTAACACTGGATAATATTTTTCTCTATTCTTGCTTTCCAAGCAGATTTCTTTTGTATAATAAAGATTTATAAAATAAACAGTAGATACTAGTTCACAAAATAAAGGTGTATAAATTTCTATTCTAATTATGTCAAGCGTTTATGTCTAATGTAATTTAAAATCTGTTTTGTGTTGTTTAAGTATTTCAAAAGGTGATTTTCCATTTAACGAATTTTCCATGCAACGAGCTTCCCTTATGAAAATTTTAGGTATAGTTAAGGTTGATTTGAGGTATTTTTGAGGTATTAAGGTTGTTTTGAGGTATATTTGAGGTATATTTAAGGTTGCAGAGAAAACAGCAATAAAAATTATACCGCGTAAAGGTTGTAATTAAGGTGTACAAGGTTGATTTATCTATACTTCAGCTTGTTTTGAGGTTGCTTAAAATTCACTTCAAATCATCCAGACTGATAAGGTGATTTTTAAGGTATACCAGGTTTATTTTCTTACACTTGTAACAAAAGAGGTATTTTTGAGGTATAAAAATTTTTACCTTATTTCAACTAACGAGAAAAAGGTATTTATTGAGGTATATGAAGTCATTTTATTTATACCTAAGCTTGTTTTAAGGTTGCTTAAAGTACACTTCATATTAACTAACTCACTTCCCAGAGTTCCATGCGAGCCGGCAAATGGCGTGTGTGTTGACAATCGAAAGTCTATTCGAAATTCGGTAAGTGTGCTTGACATTTATTAATTTAGTTTTATCACTTTTAATCAAATATGCTTCAATTTTGAAACTTAAATTTTATTATTTTTGTTTTAACGACGCGTCCTGATCTTAAATAATTTAAGTTGGAGGATATTCTTAGAGGCTATCGTTGTAGGCTTAGCAATAAGAGAGAATAACCGAAATATTTCTCGTCACTGTTTTGGGTAACATTACTGGTGAATCGTTACAGCAGGTTATGCACAGTATATTTTATTGTTTGTAGTTCAGTCAAATAGAACTATTCTTTTTATTTTGCTTAAATGTATATGTTTTAACGTAGCAGTATGCACGCTGATTAATTGAGAAAAATGTTCACAATTTCTCTTATAAATAAATCATTGAAAATTGAAAGATTTTTAAAATAGCAATTTTGCTTTGAAATTCTACTATAGCTGTATGCTTATCGTTTGGATATTTGTTGCAAAGTTTATATTATTGTTTATATATATATATATATATTTACAGAGCTTATCCACAGTTCCCTGATATTACTGAGATGGCCTAGGCTGTAAATAGCACATGCGCGGCGGCGCAGAAGAAGAGACAAGCAAGCTACTGCTCAGCCTTCCCCTAGGATATAGTTCTGAATTTATACCTAAAAGAAAAAGTAATCTCTCCTAATAAACTACAGAATTTATGTAATTGTTGATAACAATAGTTTGCTAGATATTTGATAATTGAAAACTAGTAACTGTACTAGCTCACTTCTTCATGTTTGATCACAAAACTGCTATTTTCACTACATGTTATTTTCTCGCATTTTACCCACGTTAATTATTTACTAAGCAGATTGTTATTACTTATTAGAATATTGGGCAGAATGAAATTAAATCCGATTTCAAGTTTATATGACAATTTGTTTCAAGGTTATGAGCTTTTTCATGCAGCTGTTTATGGTTCACTACTTCAAAAATGTGCGAATTTCGGAAATCTTAAATATTTTAGAAATAAGTCAGTATAGTATGCAATTTTAATCCTGAATTGAATAAAATCAATTGCAAATAAAAACATTTATTGTTGAAAGTAATATGCATTATTTTGAGTTTCATCCTATGGGATGTGTATTTATATTTAAACAAGTGTTTGTAACAACTAACTATTAGTTTTATTCTGCTCGGTATTATAAGTTATATAGGAGATATTATACTCAACTTATTTTAAAAGTATTATTTCAAATCATTCTCTCTTAGACATTTTCCTCACATAAAATTACTCACAACTTTAAAATAAATGCTCCTTATCAGCTTGTAATTTGTTCTATTCGATTGAGTGTAAAAAAAGAATAAAAATTGGTACATAACTTTAAAATTTTAATTTATTAAACGATTGTAGATTCTTGATTACATTGATTAAAAATTATTAAAATAACTATTTTTTAAGAAACTCTGATGTGATTGACAATAACATAAGTCCTTTTCAGAATCAGCGTCAAAAATTTAAAAAAAAGCTGCTAGTTTCATGAAGTCTGACAAAAAGTTGAAAAATATAGACTAGGTTTATTGAGTTTAAAGATTTTTAAAAAAGAAAGGGAAGGAAATCTAATTATTAAACTTACAAGTACCATAATGTTACAGATGTATAGAAAAATAAAAAGTGTTAAAATTGCATAATAAGATTGGAATTATACAGGGTGTTTATAAAGTCCCGGACCCATTTTGATGTTTAATAACTCATAAAATAATAAAGATAGATTAAAATTAATAACATTAATGGTTAGATAGACTCAAAAAGTTTCATGACCCTTGTCAATGAACTTCCACGTGTGCCCCCTTCGTCGCACGGAGAATATCAAGTCGATAGTCAATTTCACGAGAGGTAGCTTTCTTTTTTACAGAAAAGACAATCTCATCAGTCGTATACTTAGACATGTTGGAAAACTTCGTATTTCCACAACTAGAAGAGCTTCAGCCACATGTCTTTTTGCAACAAGATGGTGCACCACCTCATTGGGGTATCATCGTTCGTAGTTCTTTGAATGACCATTTTACAGGAAGATGGATTGGGCGAGGAGGTCCAATTCCTTGGCCACCCAGATCACCTGATATAACGCCGCTGGACTTTTTTCTTTGGGGATTTATAAAGGACAATGTTTACAGGAGGATCGTGTCGAACATTGATGGCCTAAAAGCCAGAATTACAACCGCAATAGCCTCTGTGGATGCCGACATGCTTGCCGCTACCTGGCGTGAAATTGACTATCGACTTGATATTCTCCGTGCGACGAAGGGGGCACACGTGGAAGTTCATTGACAAGGTTCATGAAAGTTTTTGAGTCTATCTAACCATTTATGTTATTAATTTTAATCTATCTTTATTATTTTATGAGTTATTAAACATCAAAATGGGTCCGAGACTTTATAAACACCCTGTATATTTGAATTTCTGTAAATGTTGTTAATGGTAATACTGTCTTCAGTGTATTTTATTTTGTGGCTGTGATACATGTCATGCTTTTTAGCTACGAGGATTGAATAGAAATGGCAGAAGATATTTATCTGAAAAGGAAAATTAATTTCATCCAGTTAATTTAAATGATAAAAAAAATACTTTCTAATATTTTAAGACCTGCCACTATTATTGTAAATATGACTTTCTTACTAATTTATATTTTTTTTCCTTTTAGGTTCCAATAATTACAAGTTTCAACATGTAGACGGAAACAGTATTTAAAATAATTTTGTTGGTTTGTAAAAAAAGTGAAATTTTAGTTTTAAATAAAAGTACTTTGAATTTCAGCTGACTAATTATTTAAATTTGTAGTTTTATAGCTTTAAAAATTCAAGCACCTTAGACAACTATCTTCTAAAAATACGAGTATGAGTTCCCATAAATAATTTTTACTAACTGTAGAATTTGGATAAGTGTTATTTTAAGATGATTTAAATCAATCTATTAAAATTATAGAAGAATTATGCATTTGAAACTTTCTTTTATAGCTTAACAAAAGAAGCAATTACTGCCGAAGGTTTAATATTAAAAATTTCAGGTTGATAAATGATCTCTACTAGTGAAAAAAATGTAATGTACATTATTCTTCATATAATATATATAATATCTTTATATATATATTATATTTTTTATATAGTGAGTCTAAAAATTAATAAACTAGGTGGTCCGTATAACACCTCACCTTCGTAAGTGCTAAAAAAAACATCTTTGGTTGATAAATTAATACTTCTAAAAATACAAAAATATATACTTGAGGTTACGAAATAATAACTTAAGGTAGAACATGGAACACATGGCGCTAATTAAAAATAACCTTTCCAATTGTTGAAAATACACTTCAGGTTGATTTATAACAACCAGAAGTGTAAAATGGCCCACCTTAGGTTGAAAAATATATACCTCTACAAGCATAAAATTATATACCTGAGGTTGAAGAATAATTACCTGAGGTAGAACAAAATACATTTGAGGTTGATTTATAACAACCAGAAGTGTAAAACGACACACCACAGGTTGATAAATATATACCTCTACAAGCATAAAATTATATACCTGAGGTTGAAAAACAATTACCTGATGTCGAACAAAATACACCTGAGGTAGATTTATAATAAGCTGAAGTGTAAAATGACACACCATAGGTTGAAAAATATCTACCTCTACAAGCATAAAATTAGATACCTGAGGTTGAAAAATAATTACCTGAAGTCGAACAAAATACACCTGAGGTTGATTTATAATAACCTGAAGTGTAAAATGACACACCTTAGGTTGTTGAATAAATACTTCCACAAGTGTAAAAAAATATACTTCAGGCTGAAACATATATACCTCTGGAGGTATATTTAAGGTATATTTGAGGTTGATTTTGAGGTATTCATTTGCACCCTTTTCAACTTTAACGACGTATTTAAATAACAACCTCCTTTATACCTTTAAAATATACCTCGTTTATACCTCATTTATACCTGGATTTTTTCATAAGGGTTATTATCGGGAATTTGCGACTTCGTTAAATAGAGGTCCGACTAATATATATATATACACCGAAGAGATATTACATTATGACCACCCTCCATCTATAACAATGGGTTTCGCCCAGGTTTTCATGGTTTCTCGCCCAGGAACAATGTTTTCATGGGGCACTTTAGGACCCATAATCCTCATAGAACAATCCCTGACGTCTGTAAGCTACTTGAACATAGTTGCAGACCAGGTTCACCCATTCATGGCAACAGCTTATCCTGCGGGAGATGGTGTTTAACAACAGGATAATGCACCATGTCATAAGGGTCGAATCGTCATGGATTGGTTCGAGCAACATTCCAGTGACTTTCAAGTCATGTCTTGGCCCCCAAATTCACCTGACCTTAATCCAACTGAGCATTTGTGGTCCAACTTGGAAAACCAAATTCGTGCAGCCACGCTACCCCTTCGCAATGTGAGGGAATTGCAGGACCAGTTGGTGAGCGCTTGGTACCAGATACCTCAGACTACCTATCAGCACCTTGTGGAATCAATGCCACGGCGGGTGGTAGCAGTTTTGAGGGCTAAAGGTGGTCCTACATGTTATTAGCAGGGTGTTCATAATGTAATGGCTCTTCGGTGTATATATTGTCTAGGAAGTAAAGGAAGCCTGTGAGTATTGCTTATCATTTTATAACATTAATCCTGTTGTTCACAAAACTGTGATAGTCTCGAATTTCATTTTATACTGTGTTCTTTTAAAGATAGTGTCCTTTTTTTTTTACTAGAGATCTCTTAAACATTAATTGCGTTATTTTATAGGCGATGCTCCTTCTTACAGGATCATCCTATGCTTGCTACAATGCAAAATTACGGGTGATTCATAATTTAAACTCTAGATATTTTTTACGGGCTTTGTCTGGAATCTTTGCTGTCGACTTTCGAATGTAATTTCAAATGGAATTTTTTTTATTAGTATACAGTGCGCCAAAAAAAAGAGAGCCACCCTGAATTACTATTGATTTTATGTTCGGATTTTCACGTTCTAGGTCTCATTCTTAATGGTTAGAGGGGATGACCGCAAAAATGCTAATTAATTAGCGCAGACGATATTTTAAGTTACGAAAGCAGACCCAGAAACGCACTTTCTCTGAATAAACATACCTTTTTTCCACAGATTGGGATTTCTGAAGCCAAAAAAATAGTAAATAGCTGCAATCTGGGAAAATAAGGTCCCGATAGTTTTATCTGGAGAGCGATCAGAAGTTTGGACCTTTTAATGCTAATTTTACTTTTTGTGTATTTCGCCATATCTCTATAACTTTTTAAGCGAATTGAAAACTTTCTGCATAAAATTACATAATTTGGTTACCCAAAGATAATTCGAGGCAAAAGAATAAATTTTAGTAAATATTTATTATTTTCATTATTTTATTAATTAGTAATAAAAAAATTGTGCATAAAAAATTGTATGTGTAACGTATGTAATTTTTTTCATAATTTTAAAGTATGTAATTTTACTTGGCAAAATGTAAAATTTGAGTGGAATCGGTTGTACAGTTGCTAAGAAATCGAATTTTAAAAAAGTTGTATATTTGAAATTGATTATTCAATTTCTCAGGATCTATTTAACCGATTTTGCTCAAATTTTGTACTTTGCTATGGTGAATAAGATACTTTTAAATAACGTAAAAAATTTCATGCCTTAAAATTCAAAAATATTTCGAGTATCATTAAATAAAATAATAAATATTTACTAAAATTTATTTTTTTGCATAGAATTATCTTTGGATAAACGTATTTCATAATTGCCTGAAAAATATTTTTAATTTGCTTCAAAAGTTGCTTAGATACGGCGAAAAAGTAAAATTAACATTAAGGGGTCCAAACATTGGATCTCTCCCCTGTTATTGGGGCCATATTTCCCCGACTATCTTGGGGGGTCAGAAATCCGAATCTGTCGAAATAAAAGATATGTTTCATTCACAGAAAATACGTTTTTAGGTCTGATTTCGTAATTTCAATTATCGTCTGCACTAATTAATTAGCATAATTTTGGTCAATCTCTTCAGCCATTAAGAATAATATGAGCTAAGATTTTATTTTATTTTATAACTGTCGTTGAGCAGCTGACCCAATTTTGGGTTTACGACTACTAATGTTCATTTCCGTAGCCTTGTAATTTTGAACCAATCCAGAACACAACGAAACTCCTGGATCAGTATCCCCAGAGGTATGTTTGCTATGGGAACATGAAGGACTTTGTGATTCAACAGATTTAACGTGCATCAGTCACCATTTACTACACGGGGAGTCTTCGGAAAGCGGGGATCGAACCCACGACATCGTAGACACGGGCCAAGTGTCCTACCAACCAAGATATCCCGGCCTAAGAGCGAAGACTTGAATGAATTCATGATTTAAGAACTTCAAGACCCGATCATTAGATCAAAAGTCCATTTTTTTTTCTGCGCATGGTACATATTGTTAAATTATTCTCATTATCTTTCATGGTTTATCAAATATTCATTTGCCAGACATTCCACATTTTTATTTTTATTTATTTATTTTTTTCACTTAAGGGATTTAGAAATTTCATTGTCAAGCGCAATAACTTGTGTTAATCCTTCATTTAAGCTAGTTTCTGGTTAAGGAAGTACTAACTAAACTTTTTATTCTTTTTGTATTCTTAATGCACTTTAGGGAGACATGTAATCCTTATTAATTTATAACTGAAGAAATAGAATGACCACCGTAGTAAACATAATTTAGGCTATGTCTGAACTATTTTCAAGTTGTATTGCTATTACTCTATTCATCTCGCAAATTTTTTATTTGTTGCAAATGTTATTGTCATATTTCAAGCGCTAAGTTTAAGAAAATGGTATTGTAATATTGCACAATTATACTCTTAAAAGATCCAGAAAGGTAGTAATTGCAATTAAAATGTAATTAAGAATTAAAAAACCAACAACTTTCATTCTAAGCAATTTTAGCACAAATCATAGCATTTCGGAAAATTCATGGATTTTAGAAAAACATTGATAGTTCTTGAAAATGATCACATACATTCGTTTCTGACAAACTTGCAAGCCTAATTATAAGTTTTTGTCATATTGTAGTGCATTTGAGTAATTTTTATATTAGCTGTTAAACGAAACTCTTTTCGCTCAAGATTAAGAACAACTAAAAGCTAAAAAGTTTGTTCCTTTAAGTTTCTTCTTTATTTTTTATGCATTATCCTGCTTCTTTATTTCTGTTTTAAAAATTTTTTTCAAAGTAACTTCAAGTTTTAAATATCCGTAAGTGTTGGAAGATAAAATTTTGAAATTATTATTTTAGAACTTTTTCTTTTGCTTTACGTAAGCATTATGTACTTTAATACGTGATATAAATAAATTAAAACTAAAAAAAATTAATTGGTAAGGTGCTTTTTAATGCTTATAACAGTTTTACAAATTATTTTTCTTATTTTGTTTGTTTTCTAAAGTTTGTAAATTACTAACAGGAAATAACTGGGAATTAGGCATAATATTAATTTTTAAATATTTGATTTTGGTTAAAATAATCAAAAATACAATTACATTTGTCTGCAATTTAGTATCAGAACATAATATATTGTGACATAGTATCTAACATATTTTCATATAAAGAAAATCTATGTAAAACTTTTAGTAAATCGTACTTAAAGATACTAAATTATTATTGTTAAAAATAGAGGAAGTAACAAAAAAACACACACATTTAGAGTTATAAAGTTAAACAGACAGGTTTTGCTATTTCTGCCTATGGGTAGATGGTTTTTTAAATCATCATGACC